TCGCCTTCATCTCATCGTCCATCTTCACCGTCGTCCGTCTTCGTCTCATCGCCGGTCTCACGGCTGTACGGCGTCAAACTGGAACTACCGCTGAGCCGAGCAAGCAGCTTTTTTCGCCTCCGCCAATAGCTGTTCGCTTCGTCTCGTCTATCACTTGCCCGGGCTCCATTTCCAGAGCTGTCACTTCATCAGTCTAACTCTGCTCGTTGTCTCGGGCTGGCGGCCGACCTCCCTGCCGACCAGACACGAAGGCGGTCTCAGCGAGATCTGCTCATAAAAGCCTGTGTGATGGGCCGCGGGATCTCGCACACCAGCGCAGACGCTTCTTGATCTGCTTGTCCATCGTTTTCTCTCCCCGTCGACTAGAACAAGACCGTCTGAGAGGCAAAAGAAGAAGATGCTGACCCAGCAAGCGTGGGACGTCGCCATGAGACGGCGGTTCAATTTCAGGTTCACTAGTTCGGTACGTCGAACCCCTTTTTACTATAGTCGTTTGCATATACATATATATCAGAGATTGATATTGTGTCTGGCGCTAGAAACGGCCGTTCGTCTCTCCTCATCCTCTGCCTGTGGAGGACGAGTCGAGGTACTACAACTTCGACGATACCCTGGCCCCTATCCGCCCGGGCTCTCCTCTGACCAGCAGACGGGAACTCGACCCTGCGACTCTGGTGCATCTTCGACACGCCTGTATATCACTCTACCACAAGACCAAGTCTCAGGGGCAGGCTGGCCGCCGTGCGCCAATCCCCCAGTCGGATCCGGTCTACTTTAAACGCGAGTATGAACGGCGCAGACTGGCCGCTCTTCCGCCAGGTCGACGGCCCATGGGCTCTACGGAAGAAAGCAAGGCCCTTGAGACGGCAGCATCTCGGCCTGATGCACGCGCTCGACCGTCGGTTGTGACAGACCTACCCTCCTCCACCCTGTCACCCACCTCTGCGGTGGCTCCCGACAGCGCTGGCGTTGTTACAGACCAACCCTCGTCCACAGAGATGGAGATACGCAGAACGATATCTGCTCCTCCACATACGGAGACGGAGGGTGCCATGGCCGAAGACCCTTCGTCGTTCCCGTACAGGTCTGAAAACCGCCAGGTCCCCAGCGTTAACCAACCCACGGTGGCTTCGTCGCCGGTCCATTCTATCGAGACTCAGCCAGCAGGGGCCGCACCCCCCAGCCCTCACACCGCCGGCAGACAGGGCTCCAGGGACATCGGCACAGAGACCCAGACGCCAACGGGGGCAGACACCCGTCAACATGCTGAAAGCACACCAAGGCCCATCAGCCAGGGCCTGGGACTCGTGCCCGTAGCAACTCGGGCATCAGCCCAGGGAACCTTATCCACCACCACCACAGACTCCATCGTCACAGACACGACTACAACGACTACGGTGACCGCTGCCAGCACGTCGACGGACGTTGCCGACTTATCCCCCCCTATCACCGCTCCCTCAGCCGGTCAGTTGTCACGAGTGCAAACCTTTGTCAAAAAGCTTTCTAAATTCGGCTTCCACAAAAAGAAAGCATCCAACCGAAGCAATGTGGGCTTAGGCATGGTGGTTGAGGCTACCTGAGCCGGCATCTCCTCCACCTTATATTGATTGGCTGTCCCCATACACTCCCTTCTCCCGCTCACCGCCACCCCGAAGAGATGTCGTTTTTTATTCTTTTTAATATATCTCACACCATCTTCACTCTCTATCGCCATTTGACATGGCATACTTTGGCGTCTTTTCCCTCGTTTCTCTGCTCCGTCGTCTTCTGTTTACTTTTGCCCCAACCCGGCGTTTACTGCTTCCGATACATCTTTAATTGGTTTTTCAGTCCCCTTCCAGGTACATAGTGGTCTTCTCCTTCTCATATACCCCTTTCACGTCAGGTCCGGTCTCTTTCTCTCTGTCTCTCTCAAAAACACTTCCATACATCTGGTCCTTTTTTCCTCTCCCCCTTTCCATGCACCTCTTCGGGGATTTTTCTTTCCTTCTCGCGCCATGCATGCACAGCTGCGTTTCCACGTTTTCCTACGAATGAACTCGAGTTCCTCGCTCTTAATGAATACGACCTGCATGCATCAAAGATCCCGGTATCAAAGTGCGGGGTTTCTCCAGCTTACTTGAATACGATCTCAATAGACAAGTTTTCGTTTCGCTTTGCCTTTTTATATTCAAATCGCATGTAAACCGAGGCGTCTAAAACTCAATAACTGTTAAATATTAATAGAAAAGACATTTAAACTTATCGTTTTTAGCCACAGAAAAGGAACAGTAGAACTCTGGATTTAATACGTTGAAGAGAAGCTTTACATCGTAGAACGTGAAAGATTAAAAAAGGGATAGACATGAAGCTGAGTGTCTCATTCTTGATCTCAGTGGTTTAGTCCCTAATCTGAAGATGAAAACGCCTATGTTAACATTGTAAAAATTGCACGGAAAGAAACCAAAGACTAAACAAACTCTTTGGATATGCATGTTTCCCTAAAGTTATCCCGTTTCCCAACTAAAAACACAAAGGAGAAGAAGAAAAAAAGATGTAAACTAGATGTAAAGCGTAGAGTTGTGATGTCGAGAAAGGAATGTTTATCGAGTTGAAGGTAAAAATTATGTTTGATATGCATCGTCAACGTCTCTGGCGCTTGTTTTCGCTGCCTGGCCCTGGCCCTGGCCCTGGCCCTGGTCCTGGCCTCATAGGACCACCCATGTTTGGTGAATGTTCATGGCCCTCGTCCCCCCCAATGCCGTGTGGTCTGCCTCTCTTTCGAGGCCAGGTATTGTTGCCTGTGTTTCCAGCACTGCCCCCAGGGCCACTTGTCGGAGTTAGAGGCGGCCCTCTCCCTTCTGGCCCTACGTTTGGGCCATCTCTCCTGTCCCGGCCGCGCTCCCTATCACGGTCTCGACCCCTATCGCCCCGGTCTCTCTCCTTGTCACGGTCTCCTCCCCTCTCACGATCACGGTCACCACGGTCTCTCAGCCTGTCATCACTGCGTCCAGGTCCTGCACCGCCCCATCTGTCAAGTGGTCTGTCCATGGGGGGTGGCGGCGGCGGTGGAGGCGGAAGCAGAATTCCTTTACCGCCGCTGCCACCACTTCCAGAACCACGCCCTTCATCTCGTTCTCGCTTGTCTCGTCTACGACTGCTTGTTGGTGTCACTTCGGTAGTATTTGCCCCTGAACTGTGGCCGCTTCTACGAGAAGAAGAATCGCGAGAGCCCCTGGCGTCGTCGCGCTCAGCAACTTCATCAACTCGACCCCTATCACGACCACGGTCTCGCTCCCGTGGGCGGTCCCGGCGGTCATCCTTCTTGCTATCTTTGGCTCTCGAACTGTCTTCACCCGTTCGGCGTTCACGCTCCCTTTCACGATCACCGGCCCTGTCATTGGGACGATCCGGGGTATGAGGACCGGAGGTCGTTGAATGCGGAGATCGTCTAGAGCTTGATGCTTCATCTATGATTTCGCTTCGGCGACTAGACCGGCCCGGCCTGCGGCTCTCTTCTTCGGGCAGTGCACCGTTAGAGCGTGGTGGGAACAGCTCCGACCTTCCGGTGTTACTGGTAGCGGAACCAGCATCATTTGGAGGCTGCGGCCTTCCTGACTGAGGCGATGGCCCACTGACAGAGCCACTTTGTCTGTTTGAACCTCTGACTCGGTTTATCTGGCCAAGGCCAGGCTTGTCACCTGTGCCGGTTGAGGATTGCTGCAGCATATTATTAAGCCCGGCAAATCTTTTATCCCCTCGCCCGCCTTCTCCAGGTAATGGCATACCAGAAGGCCGATGGCGGGTGGTTGGAGACGCACTTGGTGGGCCGTGGGCACCACCTCGGGGACCTGATGGAGGGACAATAGGAGGTGGAGGTGGAGGAGGGGGCTGAGGTGCTCCCTGTTGCTGGGACGGTGTTCCACTGGATCTGTAACCGCGTTCATTTGGGTCTTGCATGGCTTTGAGCCGGTCTGGATGGATTCCAGACGTATCCATAGTGTTGAGGTTTGCGTTGCTGTCCTCGGAAGCACTAACCCCTTGAGAAGGTCGGTCCTGGTGGGATTGACCCCGTTGGCCAGTCCAGCTTGCTGGCCCTGTAGGGGGTTGACGATCAGGGTTGGCCACGCTAGCTGATGAAGATGCATGAGGGCCTGAGGCCGAAACCGATCTGCCGCCACGGCCAGGCTGGTTCCGTCTTGGGCCTGATGGGATATCAGGATTACGTTCAAAAGCTTCCTGAGAACGCCCAGGAGGGAATCGTGAGTCTTGATTTAACCGGCCATAGGTAGGGTCAGGGGGCGGTAGATGGCTCATTCTCCCATCTCGCTGGTGATCCTGAGACAAGCGGTTATCTGGAGGATTTGCATGCGAAGGGCGATTTCCGCGAGGGCCGCTGGGTAACTCATCATGGCGAGAAGCGCCCGGCGGTGCGAGACGGCCTGGTGTATTTCTGTCATCTCGTTCATCGTGTCTATCCATTCGAGAAGATGATGGGCGGTGCTCCTCTTGTTGAGATGGGGTTGGAGGGCGTGAGCCATGTGGCGGTCTCCTGTCCTCTCTCTGTGGCCTTGCAGGACGGTGCGGGTATTCGTGTGGATGTTGCATATTAGCATGACGGGAAGCGTTACTTTCCTCGTCTCGCAGAGACCGAGGCTGATCCGGCCTCTGATTTAGATGATCAGGGGGATTAAGCCTGCCACGACTATGCCGTTCCCTCCATTCTTGATCCCGAGGGCCTATGGGATCTCGCATATGAGTTGGCCGTCCGATGTGATCTTCTGGGTATGGTCTTCGCGCCATGTCCTTCTCCGAAAGCCGGCCAAAGCCACGCGATTCCATTACGTTCGGATGGTCAGTCAATCTGTCATGATCATGCGGCCCGTATCTAGAAAGCCGGCCCTGTTCGGGATACTTGTGATCCCGGCCATCTCGTCGGTCTCCAGACATATCAGTTGGTCGTACACCGGGCGTTCTCATGTCAGAGTGCCTATACTGACGAGGAAGATCTGGTTTATTTGGAAGGCTAGCAGACGGTCGAAGCCCCGTATTACTGTTGCCGTGCCGATCAACTTCTATGCGTCGGGAGGTATTAGATAGATGAGATGATTCCGAAGGTGTCCTGGTTCCAGCGCCGGAAGCTGTTTGAGGAGACATATCATTACCTGCATCTCGAGGACGGGGTTCCTCTTTGCTAGGTACGGGTGTGGTGCTACGGTTATCCTGAGGTACTGGGGATTCAGCCACTTGAGCGGATTGGGGCTGGTCATTGTGATCCGCTGTTGTTTCGTCTGCTGTGCCTGCCTGGATAGTTGGTGTTGATAGTGGTGTAGCACGGTTAGTAGAGTCAGTTTTGGCAGATTCTTCCATCACTTTTGCCTCTTCTTTCTTTGCGTCTTCGATCTCACCATCCTCGACCTCTAACCGGCCAGTGGTGGGAGAAGTCGTTGTTCCATTTGTTCTATTGGTCGTCAGAAACTGCTCGCGAAAATATTCATAAGGTTGTAGGGTCGACTCACTTGATGGCTGCAGCAGTTGGTTGAAACTCCGGCGCATTTGCATTTAGGGGTTTAGGCGTTACTGACGAAGCTTGCGGTGTCCGTGGCTTACCACTAGAAGTCTTATCTTCTAGTCCGGCTTCATTCTTTGGCGTGTTGCTACCAGTTTCTCCGCTCGCGGCCGCTGGGTTCAAAATGGTGAATGCTTGCGGGAGGAGCCATTTTTTCTCCCTCCTGCTTAAATCTCCAACTAAGGTAGCCGAAGGTATTTTGATGTCATCTCGAGGATCGGAATTTGTCAAGGCAGCCACGCAGTTTTGCATATCCCGGCCTATCCAGTTGACTGCCGGGAAGTATTGTATGACGGCTTTCAGAACGCTGATTGCATTTCGAATATGCATATACTCGCCTCCAGTCAAACATGTTTTGAGGGATGCACTGAGCTGTCTGTGCCACTTATATAAGATGCGCCGGAAGTCCTCATAGTCCAAGAATGTTGTAGGCTTCCCCTCAGGGTCCATGGTTCTAGCAAAGCCAGGAAGATCACGTTTGGCTCCGAATGCCTCCTTTTCATATACAGCCTTGTCTGCATGCCATCTACTGAGGTCGCGTAGAAGCTCATGGAGAAAACGGCCAAAGTTATCTGCCTCTTTGGAGGTGCATTGGAATATTATGCTGGTCAAACGTTGATCCCGGAACAGTTGGTCCAATAACCCCACCGTTCGGAAATTGGGAGTGCCAGATGAATGAAGATATTTAAGCATTTTAAAACTGTAAAAGGCGTCAATAGGAGAAAGCAGGGTACGGGGAAGGAAACATTGCTGCATAAGTGCAATATTTAGAGGCTCGTGTTTTACACGCATCCCAACAAACCATTGGCTTTTTTCCTTTTGCAATCTTGCACGAGTCTGTCCGTAGGCTCTGATGTGTCGTTTGTTCTCGTCTAGGATTTGGTCGTGAAGTTCGTTAATTTGCCTCTTCTCCCTTTCTCTGCGTTGGGCACCAGCCGAGCTCATGTCCATTCTGTCGTGAGAAAGAGCAATGACTCGCTTCTTTAGACGTTCCGTTTCGTCCTCGTAGGATTTTTGGGGCACGTAGATGTCGTATAACGAAAGCTGCCAAAATGTGATATAAAATGGTAGGCCGACAACCTCCCAAAGGGACTCGGGGGCGGATGCTTTCATCCTCTCCATCAGTTCCTGGACAACTGGGTTGAACGGTGACACCGCAGTAGCTGTTTTCTCAGAATTGATAGGATCCAGCGAGCTTGACTCCGGTATGGTTTTGACCTCATCGCTCGAAACTTGGCTATCCACAGTCATGGCCCCTTCTTGCTCGGTTGGCTCAGCGACATCTTTATCTTCACCCATTTCGATGTCACTGTTGGCGCCTTTTTCCGGCATAGAAGTTTCCAGTCCTCCTTTCTTCACTGAAGCTTCTTGTATTTGTTTATTTGTATCAGCGATACGTTGGGCGATGCTTGGGCGAGATATCCAAAATGCCACCTCGGGCTGTAATCCAAACTCACTGATCAGGGACACGACATCGGGGACATAAGAATTGAATTCGTCAACCGTGAAGTTAGATCGCAGGAGGTCCAAGTATTGTGTCAAGACACGATGGGTTTCGTCAAATATATTACCCAGTAGTTTTAATTCCGCCTCGGATTCTGACTCTTTGAAGATACAGGTAACCCGTTCTTGTGCCATTGCCACAAGAAGCAATCCGGCTAAGTTAGAGTCAGACAGCGATTTCATAAGCCTCTTTGAGGTCGTTTTACACTCGTGTCGCTTGTCCAATAACTGGAGCATCGTCTGGGATTGTAGGACTTCTCCTCCTGCCATTGCTTGGAGTTGAGCATCGTTAAAACTATTGTCAGTAACAATGCCACCCATTGAGCTGATGAGCTGTTCAAGCACGAGGAGGTCCGTAGAGTTGTTTTGGCGTAACTGGTCACTGACATACTGTAAAACCGGGATGGGGTTCATAATACTGGAGTATCGTTTAAAGACTCTACCGGCGAAGGTGGCCAAAGAATTTAACCATCGGCTTGCAAGCAGACCGCTGGCTTGCATCCTACTTCGTCCTTTTTGCCCTAGTGAATTCACTAATGCCCAGGTTAAAATGTCATAGCCTAGGAATGTAAAATATCGCGCGCATTCGACGATAACCTCGATTAAATTTTCGTAGGACTCAATCTGGCTGATGGCAACGTTGATTACTATCCCAGGGTTTGCATATGCAATCTTAGCCAGTGTCCTAGCCATCGGCCGGAGATTCGTCTTGCTTAACCGTTTCAAAGAGTCTTTCGTTTGGGCGCGAGCTAGGTCGAAGGCTGATTTTATGTCTGGTATTCTGGAGACTTGCCCGAGATTCCATTCCGCATAGATTGAAAATCGGACATCCTGAGGGAAATGCTGCAGCAGTTCAAATATTTCATTGACTACACCGGGATTAACTTTTGTTAAACTGAGAGCGGGAACAAGCAAACGCTTGCAAAGGTCTTTCCAACGGGCATTATTAAACTCGGACGGATCGTTCTTCATGCTATGGTTGCCGATGCGAGCAAGTTTTGTGAGCAAACTGGGATCGTTACCAATTTTTACGCCAGAAAGATTCAAGAATGAACCGCAAAGAGCGATTACATCGTCAACAGCCTGGCAGATCGGGATATTGTCCGCCCAATCATCCCAGTAGAAGCGATAGTCGGTGCCATCATTGGTGTCTTCTTTGTCTAACTGTGCCCAGCGAAGAATGCGTCGTGGGGCTGGATCTCCAAGTCGAATCTTACCCGACAATGTGATTGATTGATCTGTACTGACGATCTTTTTTCGGCTCTTGAGTTCTTCTCGTTCGGCCAGTGGTCGGACACTGTTGTACACTTTGCTCAAGCAATGGTGAATAATACGGTGGATAAATTCAAGGAGCTCGGGATAAGCGTCCAGAAGCCATGGAAATTTTCCAAGGATATATAAGGATTCTGGGAGAGCCCCGATGGCAAGCAGGCTTTTCAAGAGAAGAACCTTTTGATCAGCTGGCTCAGGTAGCTGTTCCTTATCCTCCACCTTGGGGGCTCCCGACTTATCATGGTCATGATCATGGTCTCGCGAAGGGGTTGAAGGTCGCGCTTCTGGCTCCCTAATTCGAGGAGGTGGCGGCAAAGTGTCATCAACGAGCGCACCAGCTGTCATTAAGGCATTGACAGCTCCTCCATGACGAGCAGCTGCCTCCCTCTCCGCTTTTTCCTTCATCTTCTCTTCTTTCAAGGCATCCATGGATTCATCTGGCCGCCAAAGATGGGGATATAGATCACGTAGAGAGATAAATCCAACTTTAATGAGGAGTGCAGCGAGGTATATTAGATTATCTGGAAGGACATCTGATGGGTTCCGTGCACCTGAGGAGTAATATCGAAGTTTGAAGCCGAGAAGTTGCGCTGCTACTCGATTGCCTTTTGGTGGCAGCGTACCCGTTTGTTCGATCCATTTTTTCGTCTCACCATCGTCGTTTACGGTGTCTCCTTCAGCTGCAGATATACACTTGCGCTGTTCCTCTCGGAGATAGGTTGTCGACCAAGCTCAAAGAGGCTCGTATACATCTCTCTCACCTATCCCAAAATCTTTGTCTCGGCTTCATTTAGTCGA